AAATAAAACTCTGATTAGAAATCGCAACTAGATCGGAGAAACTCGCCATTGTTTATTATTTTATGTACTCTTGTTACAGTCTAGTCAACGAAACTTGACGAGAGGTATTTGATTAAAATGAATCAACGTATGATACAAATAGTTACAACAAGAGATAGAACAAATACTGCGATTATATATAGAACAGAATCCCAGCGAAATAAAAGAAAAAAAACCTAAATCTTCCTATTTCATCATATCTGATCGTTTTAGTGTTATACAAACAAGCAAAAATTATAAATAAGTTTTGAATAAACATAACGCGATCGCACTAAACCCTTTTCCTCTCCTTCAGCAACAACAATGTATGAACCACACCAAGATACTTCGAACGAAAAGCATACTTTTCCCGAACCAAATACATACGACTATGCTTCACAGCTCATGTTTGATGCCAATGCCTTTGCCACAATATCAAACCAGGTCGATTTAAATCCAGCATATCTCGATTTCTTTCAACAAAGCGCTGATCCATATGAAATGTTTCGTTACCAAACAGCAATGCAACAAAGTCATGACTATGCCTCATCTTGCTCTTCAAATACTCCTCCTTCCTCATACAACCAACAAGTTCAAGCACAGGTAATTAGAATCGCATATTCATCCCACAAATCTAATATTTTATCTTTAGTCTTACCAACCACAGCAGCAAGCTTATCCAATGATGGCATTCCATAGTCTAAATGCAGAAGGTATATCATTAGATCAAGCCACAAATTATCCTATCCCATACGATCATCATCAACAACAAGCCTACTTGTTTAATCATAATGGGCCTATGCCAACACTCTCGACATCCTCTTCTTCTTCTTCTTCTTTGTCATCAACTCATGCTGCTGGTTACGGTAACAGTTCTGATAATCGTGGAGCTCAAGTATATGTACGAAAAGCCTGTGTCTCTTGCAAACAATCACATGTTGCATGCGATGTCCAAAGACCTTGTGCGAGATGTGTTCGTCTGAATAAAGCAGATACCTGTGTGGATGCAGAGCGAAAGAAACGTGGTAGACCTTGCGGTTCAAGTAAAAAGAAAAAGGAAAGTATGGTCTCCTACCTGTAAATTTAATATTTTGTCACCTTTTTTTTTTCTTTTTTTTTTTTTTTCTTTTTTTTTTTACAATTTTGTACATAATAAATGCCTTTTTGTCTCGTTTTTGATATTTCCCGTAATGCGCGCACTAAATCATTAAGGCCGGATTTTTTTTTTTCGTGACTAGAATTTACCATGAACAATTAAGACTAAAGCTTGCGATTATAGAGTTAATACGCATAGATATCAATGTGTAACATAAGGGTGCTCTCACTAATGCTTAGATGTAATTAACCGATCACTGGTGTGCCTATTCTTTTTTTAAATATTTCTATTATTAGGTATGAGGATAATATTAAAGAATTTTAGACAATTATTTTTCTTCAGACGCTCCAGTCTGTTACATTAACACAAAAAGACAGAAAAGCTATGTCTATTGTAAAGCGGCGTTGATTTATTATGATGTCTATGTGATATTTATATTGATTTTGACTGGTTCGATCACAGTATTGAAATGGGTTTCCCACTTAACCTCCACAAGAGGACTAGAAAATTGGAAGGTGATCATTGCTGTCTGACTATCTGACCCTAGAGCGTTGTGATCGATGTACATCGGATTTTGACAATTATTAAATTTAATGACATAATAATTGTGTGTGCAACCAAAATCAAGCTTCAAGAACTTGTAGTTACGTTTCAGCGAGCCATCCACTTCAATGATGCATGTTTTCAGTTCAATAAACTCTGTAAATTTTAGCAGGCCGTTTTGTTTTTTCTCGTATTCCAAAGCCCCACCACATCGAAAAGTATTGGCGCTGGGTAAATATTCGTGCAATTGATTCAATGAGAATTGCGAAATACGGGCTTTGTCGAAATACATTGTCGTTTTTGTAGACTCCAAGAAAATACGAGAGGAATCTATGCGCAGGGTTTCAAGATTGGGTAAAGTCTTTGCATATTCCAAAAGATTTACAGGAATCCACCAAGATAGAGGTATTTCGATTATCAAAGTTTTGATAATTCCTTGATGATCAACCATCAACGGTGGTCGATTGCTTGTGACATAACATATGAACTTTGCATCCTGATCACAAATATTCATAAAAGTGTGATAGAATAATCTACGACTGCGAAAAACGGCAGTAAATTGTAGGCTTGATTCTCCTTTCAGTTTCAATAAAAAGTTATAAAATGGTATAACGTATAATTCTGATGAGACTTCATAATCTTCATAATCCACAAGAAATTTATGTCCGATTTTTAACTGCTTAAATCTTTTGAGATCTTGTACGTATGGGCCGAGATGATGAAACCACCGGCACATATTGCCTTTGCCAATTAGTGTCAAATTTTCTACATTACGAATCAAAGAGATGAAGTCATTATATAGTGCTGGATTCGGTGGTAGTCTCAATTGTAAATGCTTCAAATTCTTGTAATCTGTAGTACGCACTTGTGTCATTGTACGTGTAGATATCTCTTGGTGGTTACCGTAATCCAGCTCTACAAGGTTGGGACAGCACTGTAAGACATCAAAAAGGGTTATATCAATATTTCTTCCCACACAAATCTTCAAGTTGGTCAAATGCGTAAATTGGGGAAGGTATTCTAAGAGCCGTAATGCTAGCGGTCCAGTAACAGGAAAAGGTGAACCTCCGTAACAATCGAGTTGTCTAATTGTTTTACAGAATCGATGAATGACCCCGAAACCTATCATATGTCTTACAGATCCAATTCTCTGGATATTTTTTATATACTCATCAGCTTTAACATTATCCATAAATTTGGCGTATGTTCTTGCATATGTATTTTTAGGTGGAATATCAATCGTCCTTAGATTTGGCACATAGGATAGCATTAAAAAGAATTCGTTTTCTGTGAGCACTTGGTCCTTCGAGCGAGCAATACGTCTTCCATTTAAAATTAAATGTTTGGTGATATGGCCATATTTTGAAAGTTGATTAAAGTTAACCGGTACTGAGAAAAGATTAATAGTTTCGTAAAACGCAAGGAAAGCAGAAGGCTGCCACCCTTTACAAACATAAATGCAATTATAGACATCTTTTCTACTTAATAGTTTGAATATTTGGGTGAATATTTCATTTGGTACGAATTGAGTAGGAGGCATTTTTTTAGAAAGGGGGTTTTCACACAACTATTGCGTTTCCAAGATTATGTATTTAAGTTTATGTTGCACTTTGTACTACTCTGGCTGCGCACATATTAAAAAAGAAAGTCCAGAAGTGGGGTTTCTTAAACTTTATCCACAGCAGAAATGTATAAAGAGTTGACAGGCAATAGTGACTGACTGCATTTTGTGATGAATTATTAATAATATGCAGTATGGTTGATATGATTTTCACAATCCAGGAGATTTTGAAAAACAGGGATGAACTAATTTCTAACATCTCAGCCACCATTTTTAATGTCAGTCGAAGCAAGCGATATCATACTGCTTTCGCTCTTAGTAGCAACAAAAAAAAAAGAGCGTTACTTCTGATTATCAAAACAAAATGTTACCTCTGAGGTAATAAATGTAAGAAATATTCGAGCAAAATATATAAACACTAAGCACAAATTGGGACATTACATGATATTAAATACGTATGCCAGTTTAGTCGACATGAGAAACATCGAAAATAAAGATAAACTGTATTTATACACGAGCATAGAATTATCAATCAAATGGAATGCAAGTTTTGTATTTAAGGCCAATAAACTGATCGAGTCTGAAATAAGCAACAACTAAAAAAGAGATTGAATTTTCAGTATAGGCTGTTACTGGATAAAAATGCAATTTTTTTGGTATTCTTTATATTATTCAGGCCGATCGTAATGGTTTCATAATATCTAAATTAAGAACCAAGCAAAGGCTTATGAGATATTTTCTGTTTTAAAAGTTAACTATGTATCTGGTAACATTTGTTAAAAAAGATCAAGCAACTTGACTATAAAATTGACTATAAATTGACTTTGTAATGCTTCTTAAACGCGGCAAATATTACAGTTTTGACAACAGGAACCGAAAGTGCCGCAACAAAGCTACATTTAGCTACATGAGGCGCATGATAGTCTCGCAGTGTTAGATTTTTTATGTACAATCAATTTCCGGATAGCAGTGTTTATGTTACAAGAAAGCAAGACCTTTATTGTTCCTCGAGGATATACAAATGATTCGTGCACGCTTAGAATAACATTTCAATCAGCGACGGAATAAATAATCGCACAAAAATTAATGCATAGTCTAGATAAATGTTCTTTGATGAGAGAGTTGGCAACCGTGTTAGATATAATTTCTTGTGATTAAATTTCTCAATGGGAAATCTTCTTCTTAAAAGTAAAAACCGAGAATGTTATACTTGGTTGTAAGTAGAGCATAGTAGAAACCCGATTGAATTTTATAAAATATCGCAATAAAGCATTTATATTATGCCCCATGGTTATATTTCAGTAAATGACAATGTAAAAATAAATCTTTTGTCCTTTCCAAAGCTGGATATTTTTTTTAAATGAAGGGACAGATTATATTGGTATATTTTTGGCATTGAAGATCTAAGGTTGAAAATAAAAAATCTAGATCTTGCGTACTTGATAGTTAAAATACAAATAAAGGAGTCTAATGAATAACAATCAAGTATCTTACGGATTTAACGAAAAAAAAAAGTTGATTTCATCAATATTGATAAATAAACTATTCTATTAAATGCGTCATTAATCGTCATAGTGTCATCAATCGTTTTGTATAAATTAGATCCTTGAACCATTCCCTTTCTCTAAAAACACAACAACATCGCTTGCTATGGGATCAATGCTAAGCGTCTGCTCTTTTTTCTTTTTTTTTCTTATTCCGTCCTTTGTCACTCTATTCAATCTAAAAAGAGTGTCCACCTTTTGGTTTCCCAAATTTTACGGAAATGGTCAAGATGTCATGTCTTGGTTGAAGGAATCTGCGCGTTTAAGCGAGACTAATCAATGGGACAATGACAAGAGATACGACATGTTGACTGATAACTTGGAGGGAGATGCAAAAGAATGGTTCACCAAGAACAAGGATAATATGAAAAACTTTGATCAACTCAAAGAAGGACTGATAAATCAATACAAGGATACCAAAGAACTCATTCTTCAAAGATTAATTCATACAACAATGAAAGAATCCGAATCTGTGGATACTTACGCCAATCGATTTTCAGAGGCTGTAGAAAAATACTTGAATTTTTGTCAAAAGGAAGGCTCTGAACAAGATTTGAACTTGAAAGATATTTTATTGAATATGGTCAACAATATTAGTCCATTGACAACTAAGCATGCCGTCTTGCCTTTGTCAAGTGAAATTGATCGTGTAATCGGACAAGAAAAAGACATGAATTCCGTATCAAATGAGAAATTTGAGGACATTGTTACAAGTGTTATTAACTTTGCTCTGGCGAATGGACCAGTTAACATAGTAAAAGAAATAGCGTCTACACCACCTTCTCAAGAATTCAGTGATGCTTTTTTTAAGCTATGTGTTGTTGGGGCGTGTAGTGGAATGGTTACCATGAAATTGTACAAATATGATAATTATCGACAAGAATTGTTCTATGATTCATTGGACGAGTATTTACAAAATAACTTTGTGCTGGATGATGGAGAACTAAATTTTGATCCCATGCAAGTTATTGGATACCTGCTTTTGTGTTGCGTCCCTGATTACTATTCACCTTTTGTAGCCTTGTTCCGTATGACTTTAAAGGCGACTAGCATTCTAGAAGCAGATATTGACGATAGCGATTTATCATTAAGTCATAAAAAAGAAATCAGCGAAATGATCAAATACTGGAATAAGGAAAACGCTAAAATCTGTGGGTATGTGATGAATGCTTTTATGACGAGGTGTGGAAAAAATATGGCATTACCAGATGTAGACTTTTTGACGATCGATACAAACGTTTTAAAGGCAGACGAATTAGCTAGCTTGGATGTTGCTGTTTAAAACAATCTAGTTTAAGACAAGGTTATATTTAATTCGTGTAAATAAAATTAAATCAGCATTACCTCATCTAAAAATATACATATTATTGGATTTATTGTTCGATCGTGATTCCGTCCTCTTAAAACAGTTTCGCGGGTATGCTTCTAAAATGTAGCTACCATACTTATGAGACTATTACAAAAAAACTTAAACGTACTTTCATAGACAGATAGCAACAAAAGTTGTTGGTTATTTCTCAAAGTTAGTGAAGACAAAATGCTCTTCTCGCTACTTTTTTTTTGTCTAACTAAATCATGTACCGCGTTAATTATCACTAAGTTACTACATTAAATTTATTTTTGAGGAAAAAAAAAGTATAAAAAGAAAGTTCTTTCTCATATTATCAATTTAAATAAGCGGACTAAAAGATTTGCTTTTGTGTATATGGTGAATTTCACCTCCTAAAATAATGAGCTGGGTTGGCATTGTAATCAATTGTGAATTAATGACACAATTACTTCTGAATCCTCAGATACTTGTATTTGTAAATTGAAAACCTGTAGATCAACAATATTCGATTGAGAGGAGCTGCAGTGTTGAAATCTGTGCAACATATGTATGCCTGAACTCAGATCCCAAGATTCGGATGGTTACTTTGATCGAACGACAAATGACTGTGTGTGTGTGTGTGTGTGTGTGTGTGTGTGTGTGTATGGCTGATAATGAGATGGCTTTAATGAAACCCGTGATTTCGGAGAGAGAGAGAGAGACGGAATCGGTTAGGGAAATAGGTCATACGTGGCAAACTGTCATCTTATTTAACAACCGCTGTCGCAGTTAGAGGCTGTTAAAATCACACTGTCCAGCAGTAGGAAGTTTGATATAAAACCATAGGTCACTATAAAGATTAAATTGCTTGAGTCGAAAGGGGGGACTAGTCTGAACCGCTGTAGCACTCGATGTTCATAATTTAGACACAATGATAATGCAAGATATCGTCAAACTCTAATAAGCTTAATAAGGATACATATTACATTAACCAATCAAGGAATCATCAGCTCAATCACCCAACATCGACTGTCAATTCTCTTTGCAAACCTTTTATTAACGCTTACGCTTACAATTACGTTACAGTTATGCGTTTAACCACCTTTATATTCATAGTCTGATTTTTTGGCCCAGTCTACTGAACATACGGTTATGTTAGATCATGGATATTTCTTCATCGGTATATCTTGTAAACATTGGCTTATACAAAATGCCGCTTTCCATAGGTTGAATTTCTTTGTAGTAGATGGATAGTCCCACGCATATTTGGAGAATCCATCAACCTGGCGAGTATACTGTCAAAGCAAGATTGTGCTAAACATTTTGTAAACATTTTTTTGCTAATAACAGACATCTGTTTCAAACCTTATGGGGATTCTAGACGGCAGCACCCTTCCCAATACTGATACATGGGGGTTATTCTCATCCATCAAATACCACCTTAATAAATACTTAATCGAATAAATAGCACCACTATGACACATTTCCGCCTTGTCATTCGTTTGTGTTTTATATAGGATATGCAATGTTATTCGTCCTTTAGGAAACTTACATATAAAGTATGTCTCGTTTAAAGGCATTCACTGACCCAACAGCTAAAATTTTGAAGCTCAGGTTAGAGGGACTGTCTTCTATCCTACTTTCGGGTTAACACAGAAAAAAAAACAGTTACAACACATAGTTTTTGTAGAACCAGCATATCGACATGTCCAAACGTTCTTTTGACCAAGTGGAGGATTCCAACATTAAAGACAAAGTGGCCAAACTAGCACAAGAATCTTCAACGCATGATGTAGCCAAGACACAAGCTTTACTGCTGGCAAGATTAAATGGAGCGGCATTACCGTCTCAATTACACAGCCTCGATCAAGAATACGATACACTTTACAAATTATTAAAACAGACCGTGGATTCAGGAGAAAGTAACTCTTGTCTGTTGATTGGCAATCGAGGAACAGGCAAATCAGCTCTTGTGCGAACCGTATTGAAAGATCTCGAGAAATTAAGCAAAGATTTCTGCATTGTAAAGCTTAATGGATTAACAGAAACAAACGACAGACTGGCTTTGAACGAAATTGCACGTCAATTAGCAGTCGAACAAGAAGATCAAGACGATCGTAGCTTTGTACGTACAAGGTTTTTATTTATTGGGACAAGTGGGTGCATAAACGTACTAAAAAAAAACCTTCTAGTCCACGTTTGCAGACTCGTTTGATTACATGTTATCCCTGTTAAAATCTGGCGACAAGTCCTCACTACCTGTTATATTCATTCTTGACGAATTTGATTTATTTGCACAACACCCAAAGCAAGCGTTATTATATAATTTATTCGATGCAGCACAAAGCGCACAAAACCCCATGGCTGTGATTGGTTTGACATGCCGCTTGGATACGTTGGAATTACTCGAAAAGCGTGTCAAATCTCGATTTTCTCACAGGCAAATTTACCTGTTCCCGTCTTCCAATTTTGGCCAGTTTATCGAGATTGCAAAAGGAACACTCACATTACCGCCAGAGCACAAGCTTTTTAATGATTCGCTTGAAGAGTTATTTCAAAATCCCACAGTCAACGGTATCTTGAGACATATTTTTGATATTTCAAAGGATATCCGAATGTTTCATAAAATATGCGTAAGTGATACAATTTTTTTTTATGAATGGATAGAGAGCAGAAAGAATATTAATCAATGTATAGTTTCCTGCTGTTTGCAGATTAAGTGAAAGACAACCCTTCTTATCAGCAGAAGATTTCCTCGAATCTAGTCTGGTTCAGAGAGCAGACTCCAAGACAGAATTATTAAAGGGTATTTCATTATTGGAACTTATACTGATTATCAGTATGAAGAAGTTATTAGAAAAGGATGTGCTTTCATTTAATTTCCAGATGGTGTATGATGAATATAAGGATTTCATGAATGAAACCCAAGTGAAAGGCATGGGATTTGGTATGAAATTATATAAGCGGGCTGTAGCACTCAAGGTAACGACTAACAAAACAAAACAAAAAAATTACAAATCATCATATGTTACATAAATGTTCACACACAATCGCATTTGTAGGCCTTTGAAAATCTCCAAATGTTCGAACTTGTTTGTCCAACCGATATTGCAGGAAAATGTCCTAAAGAATACCGAATGACGAAATTAATGTTGGAACAAGCACAGGTAACAGAAGCCGTCTTGAAATACAATTGTCCTTCGATGGTCAAGAAATGGGGAACAGGTGCTGCATAAGGGCTCTTAATCATGATTATCTTAATAAAGTCTATTTCTTTACCGACTGCAGTTCATGCAACTAAAAAAAAAAAAAAAAAAAAAAAAAAAAAAACTTTGGAGAACATATTATAGATATGTGCATGGAACGTGTCATTCGTGCACAGTTACGTGCACTCTTTCGTCATACGCTCTCTACATGTTCAATTCTTCATACCCGATGTAACCAATAAGCAACATGATTGCTGCATAAGCTTCACTCAAAAGGTGTGATCACTGTAGATCTAAACATTTCGCAACAAAAGGAGAGGGGGTGGGGTAGGGGGATGCTTTATTTTCCCGACGCCTTTCAAACTTTCATTTTGTATGTTAACTGGGAATGTATATTTGATATTATGACGTTCCTGACTAATTAAATTCGAAATGAGAATTAGAAGTATGCTCCTGACACATTATAAATACTCAAGTTTACATCACTTTTTCCATAAACTATCTAGAACTATCTAGATTATCAAGCCATAAAGAGATTTGTCAATACAGACCATGGAGTTGCACTAAAAAACGCTTCAGACTATGTATTTGTGCATACGACACTTCTTATCAATTGTGCCTATGTGCCATATACAGTCTGTCTAGATCACCGCACACTAAAAAATGACAGAAAATCTGCAAAAATAAAGGGGGTGGGGTGGGGAGGGGTAGATGTGCCCTTTTGTTACGAATAAAAGGTATTGTAGGCATAAGATGACGTTGGCTCTTTTTTGTATGTTGGTCATTGGTGATTTGTCAAAAGGTTTTTCTCTATTTGGAAAGAAAAGGGTAACCGGGACAAGAGATTTTCTCCCCCTCTGACCTCCTTGTTTTACATATAAGGCTTCAGTGTGGGTGTAGATTTTTAATTGGTTGGTTACACCAGGAACAGTTCCTCTCTCTTTTTCCCCCACTTTTTCAAATTGCATAAAAAGAAGCCAAACTCCGCTGAATTGAAGTGAAATAAGAAGAACATAGAGTTTAGTAGGGTGATAAGATGGAGGGAAGAGGCTAAACGTTTAAATCTTGTGTAAACAAACTAACGGATAGAGATGACACGACTTTTTTAAGCTGTGAGAAATTTTAAATGAACCATCTTTAGTGTCACACACATACACACACCTTTACATTTGGAACACCATGCACAGGCGCACACAAAAATATCTTGAGGGTAGAAAAGGCGGTTTATTCTTTTATAAGAAAGGAGACAACGGTAGAAAAGATGTTCACTACTGTTGTTCTTTGCCTCGAGAAAAAATAATTCAATATAAACAATAACAACAAAAAAAAAAAAAATTGGGCTCAACCGTGGGAAAGTTTAGAAATATCACACAAGTGTCTATAAAAATCCCCCACATTTTTCGAAATTCTTTTTTGGTGTTTTATCTCTCCTTGTTTAACAAAAAAAAATGTTCAAGCTCACTCAACGCCTTCCTCAACTTGTTTCTCGCTCATCGGGCTTAGTTCGTCAAGCCGCCAAGCGGTAAGTGTTCTTTCCCTATTCCCAGCTCAAATATTAAACGCGTTTTCTATAGTAACTATGCTGCTTTAACTTTTGCTTCTCCTGCTTCTCATGAATCACCCAGTTCTTTGTACGCATTCACCGAAGAAGAATTAATGCTCAAGGATTCCGTCACTCGATTTGCTCGTGAAATCGTTCAACCCAAGGTTCGTGATATGGATGAAGCTGAACTCATGGATAAGGATATCATTAAGTCCATGTTTGAAAACGGTGTAAGTAAAAGAGTTTTAAACTAGAGCCCAATTGCATCGCTAATTCAGTTTTTCTCCTTCTCTTGCAGTTGATGGGTCTTGAAACTCCTGCTGATTATGGAGGTGCTGAATGTTCTTTCATGGCTGCTATCTTGGCTGTTGAAGGTAACTTTTAACTCTATAAGTAAAGGGGGATTTACTAACTCTCGTATTAGAACTTGCCAAGATTGATCCTTCTATCAGTGCCTTGTGTGATATCCATGTAAGTTTACATACTAGAGATTAGAAAAAGAGAGTCTTACCAAAGTATATAATAGAACACTTTGACCAACACTGTCATCCGTAAATACGCCTCTCCCGAGCTTAAGGAAAAGTATCTCACTCGTCTTGCTACTGACACCGTCGGTAGTTTCTGTATCTCCGAAGCAGGTGCTGGTTCCGATGCATTTGCTCTTCAATCTCGTGCTGAAGACAAGGGTGATCACTATATCTTGAATGGTAGCAAGATGTGGATCAGTAACTCTGCTGAAGCTGGTATTTTTGTCATCTTTGCCAACGTGTAAGTCTTTTATTTCTTAGGTGGGAGTATGTAGTCTAATATTTTACACTTAGTGATCCTACCAAGGGTTATAAGGGTATCACTGCCTTTATTGTTGAAAAGGAATGGGGTGTGGAGATCGCAAAGAAGGAAAAGAAGGTAAGATTTATATACAGTTTGGTATGTAGGTTTATACTAAACGCTTCTCTTTTATGTATAGCTCGGTATTAGATCCTCTTCTACCTGTGTGTTGAACTTTGACGATGTCAGAATTCCCAAGGAGAACGTGCTTGGTAAGGTGGGAGAAGGATACAAGTATGCTATTGACTCCTTGAACGAGGGTCGTATTGGTATTGCTGCTCAAATGATTGGTTGTGCACAAGGAGCATACGATATTGCTTTACCTTACATGATGGAGCGCAAGCAATTTGGTAAGGCCATTGGTACTTTCCAAGCCATGGAACATCAATTTGCCGAAGTGGCTGTTGAGATTGAGGCAGCCAAGCTCTTGACTTACAACGCTGCACGTTTGAAGGAAGAAGGTAAGCCCTTTGTGATGGAGGCTGCTATGGCTAAATGGCTCGCTGCTAAGGTGGCTGAGAAGTCCAGTTCTTATGCTGTGGAATGGATGGGTGGTAATGGTTTTGTTCGTGAAACTGGTGTTGAAAAGTTCTATCGTGATGCCAAGATTGGTTCCATCTATGAAGGTACTAACAATATCCAACTTCAAACCATTGCCAAGATTATTGGTAGCAAGTACAAGTAAAGAAAGATTTTTTATATATAAAGAAAAAGAAAAAGAATAAACCTATACATGATACACTATATACTTAATTTTAAATAATGACAAGAGGATCTTTATCAAACTTGGATACGAGGACTTGGATAGGTTCACCCTCTTCTGAAGTGTCATTTTCCAATGCCTTAGATAAAGCAGGTTGAAGCACGGCAGAGAGATAGCCACGCTCTGTATTGGTATGTTCGCATAAGATGACGCTGGTATTCTTGGCCAAAGCAGCCAAAACATCATGATGTCCCATTTCTCCTGTGAGATACACATCGGCAGTCACAGGGCCCAAGACAGAAGATCCTGAGCCAGCACAAATAGCCACGGATGAAACCAGTGTGTTGTTTTCAGCGGTTGCCAAACGCACTTTTTTAAGATAATAAACAAATAAATAAGGATTGTCATACTTTTTTTTTTCTAAATCTCACTTACAATGACGTAAACCGGTTAATTTCTTGACACGTTCTACGACGGTCATTAACTCTGTAGGACTCGTGAATCTAAAAATACGACCGGAACCCGATTGTTCCTGGCCGACGGGTGGATTGACAGAGGGAGTGATGGCTTCTGAAGAGCCTTGACCAAGACCACTGGCTAACCAGTCATTGACTAGTTGTTTGCAGCGTGAATACATAATTAATTCAAACACGTATTTTTAAATAACTTTTACCTCCATTTACGCAATTATCACACGCTGTGTGAGGTGAATAAATACCCACACCACGTGCAATGGCTTTCAAGATAATATCTTGTTTGACGTCTGCTGAAGTAAGACGTTTCATGGAGCTAAAAATAGGTGGATGATATGACACAATTGTACCAATCTATCATTGCCTAATCAGCATGACGCGCGCTTTTTTTCTCTCTCTATTTAGGCATACCTTAGGGTCAGAAAGAGCTTCCTCAAGTACTTTGTGAGTTAAGTCAATGGTTAGTAAGACTTTACTTTGCTTGGGACAAGGAAAAGGAGGCTCTAACAGAATATGGGTACATGAGTTTCGTTATGTCAATTACATGTTTATTTAGGAGGGAACTAACCGACTAAAACACCAACATTATCCCACGAAGTTTCGGCAAGCTCTAAAGGAGCAATAGTTTTCATGCAACGGGTGACCTTGGATAAAAGCGACATTAGGGTACTTGAGTAATTCTTGTTTCTAGCAGAAATGTGTGAAAAAATAATTATAAAAAAATGTTTTTATTTACTTTTAGCTTAAGAGTCGGAGTTACTAGTGAATATAAATATGAGGTTTGTTTTGCAGAGAAAGAAACATCAATCAATAATAACAAATGAAGCAAGCAATTGTGATTACTAATGTGGACTCTTTACTCGGATATGCACTTGCCTATCGTTTTTTGGAAGACTGGAATCGATCAAGTGATAAGGACAAGACAGAATTTCGTTTGGCGTGCTGTAAAAATGAAGGCTTGCACGATTTGGAACGCTTAGGAGGTCAAATCTATGAGATGGGAGACTACGGAGATGAAGACGCTATGCATCATTTGATGAAGAACGTGATTTATGTTCTCTTTGTGCCTACCAATACAGAAAATCGTATGAAGGAAGGAGAGGCCGTCTTGAAATCTGCACACAAGGAAAAGGTGGATTATTTGGCAATGTTCTCATTGTAAGTAGTCTCCCCTTATTTTAATCATAAACTAATTCTATTCATAGTTTGGGCTTAGATGGCTTGGAAGGCTTGGAAGAAAACAAGATGAAGCATTTAAATCAGATGCTTCAGTTGGAAAAGAAAGTACCCGATTACTTTGACAAGAAGAGTTATTGCATCATTCAATCCGCTATGTGGAGCCAATTCTTTTACTTTTTTGGGCCAATGATTGAAGATCTTAATGAGATTCGACTGACTGTTCATAAGAAGACCAAATGGGGTACGGTTGATTTAGGAGATTTAGTTGATGCAGTCTATAATTTATCAGACCCTAGTGGAGTTGAGCAGACAGGAAAAGAGAGTTTAGGCCAATTGTACGTTTCCAACCTAAAGAAAAAGAATTGCACCTTATTCCAATTCACGCCACGTCATAACTTCTCAGCTGAGCAACTTGTTCATGATGCTAGTCAAGGTCTGGAGCGTAGTGAGGATATGACGTACGAAAAGACAGATGCTAGCAGATTGAAGGAATATTTGCGTGGCATTCAGAATGATAATCGCTTTAGGGAAAGACCTCATCATCATACTATGGATCGTCCTTATACTTTCCCACTAGGCCGTTACCTGAAGGAAGGCGTGATTGAAACGTTGATGGAATATTTGGATTTCATTGACAAGGGAAAAGCTGATATCGAGACTAATCAATTAGCTGATGCTCTCGGTCGTGATCCTCAGGATGTACGTCACTTTTTCAAAGACAACAGAGATCAATTCCGCCATCTTCGTTAAAGTTTCTTTCGTGCCCTACCACGCCTCCTTTTTCAAGCACATTAAACCCCCTTTTAAGATAAAAAATTTTTTTTTTGTTGAATAAAAAGAGTTTTAACTGAATTAGGAACAAACAAAAAACGATCTAGGTCTTTTTTCTTTTTCATTTGACAGTGATTGATTTGAATCTTCCAGTCTAGACATAAAAACAAGCCTACTGCTTAAGGCTGGTAATACATTAAACTAAATAACCTTTTACGCATTAGCGTCAATTACAGGTAGTCGACTTTTTTTTTCTGTTTTTTTTGCATAATTTATTATTTGATGCGCCACGAAACTCAGATGCCATTCCATATTTGAAATTATAAACTTTATTACCAAAAAAGGAAAAAGTGACGCAAAAGAAAGTCTAATTTTTTTTTTTAGCTCGTTTTTCTATTTGATGCTTGTATAAATAAAGAGCAACATTTAACGAATTTATTTTTTCTCTTTCTTTTCTTCTTCTGTACGCTATTCTTTTCTTTATATATACACAAGAAGCCTAAAATTTAACACCAAAAAACCCCATATACACACACAAAATGAGTATTACTTATGAATCACCCAATCAATATATGAGCGATAATACGAGCTTATTCTCTACCAGTGATAATGAAGCAACACCTTCATTTGCTTCCTCCGCAACAGCGTCAACCGTACAGCCTTCTATCCCCATGCACCAAGAGTTTATGAACGTTATTCAATCCCGCCAACTTCAAGGCTTTAACAAGAATGCAACTTTCTATCGCCATCAGAACATTGAAGATCTTAAACCGATCGATAGCAGCACGATGCATACATTAATGTTGAACAAGCAGTTATTGATCATTGATGTACGAGCTTACAGTTACTTTGCAAAGACCCGTATTCGTTCAGCCATTAATGTGTCTATCCCATCTGTGCTACTGAAACGTCCCACGTATTCATTGGAGAAAGTGTGCGAATCCATTACCTATGATGAAAAGGCCGCTGATCGTCTGAGACTGTGGTCTCAGGCTACACACATTGTCTTTTATGATCATTCGTCCTATTCGCCCAGCGACTCTGGAAATTCAACCACAGCCATCTTGCTTGGATCAAAATTACGATCCGCCGGTTACAAGGGCCAATTAAACTATCTGCAAGGTATGGAGATTATTTTACAAACAAATAAACAATAAACAGAAAAAGAAAAAAAACACTAACTATAATTTTTGTTTTCTTTATTAGGCGGACTTAAAGTCTTTTATGAGTTGCATGTAAATCAATGTGAAATAGGTCCATTTAATCAGCAGCCTCTAGTCTTTAATCGCTCCAAACGTCCTACCAACATTCAATTGCCTTTACCCACCAGTCAGGTCACGAGTGGTGTCAATCCCTTTTTCACCAACATTCGACAAAATTTAGAATTATCGCATGGTCCACTTAAAGAACGATTTGATGTACGATTACCTTGGGGGCTTCTCAATAAGGACGGTGCCATTTATTCCAACTCTCCCTTGTCTCTTTCCAGCCATCATCCTCGTTTTGGATTGGCAGGCAGTTCTGTGGATGTCAAAGGCAATCTTCAATTGCCCAACTGGATACGCGACATCATGGACACAGAAAATGGACCAAAGAAGCTAGCAGAGATGTACGAGGTATTTGTATCACACTTTATTTTAAGGTATGACATAAAATACTAAATTCAGATGTCAATGACATCATTTAATTTTTTTTTTTTTTTAGCTTTTAGAACGTACAGAGCAAAAACGTTTATCAACAATTATGAAGCATCATTCCAAACAATCGGGTGATGATCATTTCCCCTTTAGTATTGCTTCTAGCATGGAAAAAGGTGCTCTCAACAGATACAATAATATCTGGCCCTATGGTAATTACAAGCACATCATTTCTATCTGTACAAATATATCTAACTCAAATATATATCTGTAGACTATTCTAGAGTGCGATTAAATCAGACAAATGATGATTACATCAATGCTAATTATATCCAATACGCCACAATCAAGAAAGACATCACGATTGATCCTATCAGTCAGTCCGACCATGAAATCAGACTTGCACAAGAAGGTCTACTTACTCAGGCTTCGTTACGAACCATGGACAGAGTGAATGTTGGCTTGGATTGCAACCGCAAATACATTTCCACACAAGGTCCTTTGCCCACTACCTTTAACGATTTCTGGAAGATGGTCTGGGATGAAAACTCTCAGGTCATTGTCATGCTGACGCAAGAGATGGAAATGAACAAGGTAACCAATGGTTAAGAAGCTTTTTTTTTCAATATATCAACATACTTATATATCAATGTTAAGATCAAGTGTCACCAGTATTGGCCATCGACTATGCATGTACCTAAAACGTACGGTGTGTATACGGTTACCTTATTATCTGAATCGACGAAATACATTCTCAACATGAACGATAAACGAGAACGCAACGAAGACGACCTGATAATGATCCGCAAGTTCAGTCTGAAACATGAAGGACAGGATGAACGCATGATTACCCAATTACAATACACTGGCTGGACAGATTTCGGTGTACCTGACCAACCCATTGGCATTCTGGAGCTCGTTCATCAAGCCGATGCAGCTTCCCGAGAAGACATGGGTCCCATGATTGTACATTGTTCTGCCGGTTGTGGTCGATCCGGTACCTTTTGTGTGATCGATACCATCATCCAACGTTTATGGCATGAACGCGATGTTTATACCTGTTCATCTACCGATAAAATCAATCAGACCGTGAGCCGCTTCCGTGAACAACGCATGAGTATGGTGCAAACACATCGTCAGTATGTCTTTTGTTATGAAGTCGTCTTGTGGTGGTTGTTGGGTTATGGTAATTTACCCGTTTCACAGCCCACAAGTCCATCTATCTCAATCGAAAGTGTAAGTAAGAACTCGGTAGAGTCTCAAGAAAGGTCTTCTTCTATTGGAAGTATGGTAGATGACTTCAAAGAATTGTAAATAATATAATTAGTAATAAATAAAATAATTTTTTTTTTACAGTGCGTAAAAAAAAAAAAAAAAAAAAAAAAGCTTAATAATAATTGATCGACGTGTAAACATTACCAAGTTACAGGACCATGTGTGACGGAGGGAAGGATAAAGAGAAGGAGAGAGAATTTATTAACAAAGGATGGGAGTGGGGGTGAATGTGGGAGGGTTGGGGGGGATAATCTATACATAAAATAATAAGCGAAATTTTTTTAAAGACGAGGTATGGCCATGGATAGTCTTGTGACACGTCTCTTTGGGATTTTCTTGTGCCTGGGAGAAGGATTGGCTGATTTTTTGAGATGAGGCAAACTACGAAAGGTAAAGTTTGAAATATTTTCTGCTAGTAAGGGAGATAAGGTATAATTGACACTGGTGAGTCTGAATAATCTGGCAGCCATGCCATTTTCGGATGGGTTCAAAAGAATGTTTTCGTGCATGGCCATATCATACACTTGAAGTGAGGAAGAGAATAATTCGGGACCTTCCACTGCATACCAAGGAGCGTCTGCATCGTCTGCATAGATATCGGCCATCGACAGGCACGGTGTGGTGGTGGCAATCGACAAATTTTCAGATATCAAATCTTGTCGTTGTCGTTGGTGTTGTAATTGCATGAGGTTGTTCATTGGATGGTATTCTTTATAGGCACTAATGCCTAATTGGTTCATACTACGGTTATGAGTAAAAAGATTGGCAGCAGTAATCGGCACTGCTCTATTGCTGCTGCAATGGAAATAATCGGTGGCTTCCATATTCAAAAATTCGTTCTTTTTGAAATCGTTTGTTTCAGAATAAAGGGGTGTAAAAACAGTGGAGGTGGGACTAGACGATAAATAATTATGGTAATCCTCATTCAAGTCAAATGAGCTAGAGAGCGGTGTATATAAAGTACTAGTGCTGGGTGAACAAGGAAAGTCCAACTCGGGTAAAGAACAGAAATCTGTCGTTGAATTTGTCCAGGATCGAAGTCGAATTGAGTTGGTTTCTTCTAATTGTTTAGTGCGTTCTTCTTGTTCCTTCTTCTTTTGCTTCTCGGCTTCCGATTGAATGAATCGTAAACTGAGGTTATGAATCATCACTGGTAAATCCTCTTGCAGCATATTTCTCAGTTGTGTTTCAATCTGACGCTGTAAGAAATCTCGAAGAATAGAAACACTGTCAAATGTAGAACTGATTCTGATGCTCTCTAAAGGGTCGTTTTTAAAGACCAGTGTCACTCCTTTGGTTTTAGAAACCACAAGTACAACAATGCCTCGTAGCTTTAAGTCGCTTATACGAAGGATCATTGGCACCACCAAAGGTTGATCAGCCGCTAAAATACCAGGTCGTGAATGACGTGGTAGTTCAGAACTTTTAGCATGCATCGGGTTTGCCTAATAATTATATGCATTTTTTATGAGTCATCCCGTATAAGTGTTATAGAAAAAAATTTTTTTTCGTTACCTGAACTTTAGTTTGTACTTCAATGTAAGCGTCACCAGCATAATTTAGCTTGAAAATACCCCGGAATTTATCATTTCCTAATTCACCAATTTCTAAAATCTCCAACTCTGGAGGCTGTAAATATTTATTGTTACTATTTGGCACAAAATGTGTTACGATATTCAGTTTAAAAATATACCTTGGTGCCCATGTTTAATTCTTTTACTGCAATGTGATCAACAATGACTGGAGGTTTGTTGCCCTTGTTCAAAGCTGTCTCTAACTGAGACTTGGCCTCCACGTAAAACTCTTGGTCAAATTCTGGCCAATTGAAGCGAAAAGCCATAATGTGAATGCAACAATGTATAAATTATAAAAAAAGAAAAGATTAAAAGGAAAAAAAAAAAAAAAAAAAAATTAATCGGATGGTGCGGGGGTGGTGGATTATTCCGTAATTAGAATAGCACGCGCAAGAGAAAAAAAAAACCCCCTCCTCCTTTTTTGTTGCGTTACTGGCCCTACTTCACCCGGTCAGTGATAGGGTGGTGTTTTAGCACCCCTTTCCTATTTTAAAAGTCAGGTGGTCTGTCCCTAGGGATTTCCCGATTGGCTCGTTCTCAAAGCAATAGATTTTTCCAAGACATGATAAATTGCGGAAGGACCACATAATGTGATTTAATCAATAATCGTATCATACAATTCAAATGAGTCATCTTTTTTTTTCATTATTATTATTTCGTTATGCATGTATTAATTACCCACTCCCAAGCATAGTTCCTTTCTTCTACATAACTTCTTATTCATCTATAAAAACCTAGAATTGGTTAACGTAGTAATTAAAAAGAATAGTGGCTATGTACGACGTTCTACTTGGATAATCAACCACGTTTTCCGATCTAAAAGCATTCTTGCACGATACTCTTTTCTTTATACCCTTTCCATTTCAGCTTCGATACGTAAAGAAAACAAGTGGTATTCTATGCTGCTTTGATGCAAACAATAAATAGAATGCAAAGGGAAAATACATGTCACTGCGCACTCATTCGCATTAATACGCATGTTTATTTGGGATTGCCCTTCTGTAGCACAGTTGTAATGTTACCGTCGCACTATTATCTTTTTATATGAAAAATGTGGTGCGTGCCACTTGTGATATTTTAGCTATTGTTAATTATCTTAGGCGTTACTTACTCGCTTATTGTAATAAAAGTAGGCGCGACCTTATCAAAAAAGAAACATTGGTTCCGTACCAACACTTCCACTCCTTTATCCCAGAACTACTCCCTAATACTACTATTGCTGGGGAAATATATTCGGTCAAATGCCACGATAAACTGTTTATCTAACTAGGGAGTCCGAGGGTTGGTCATTTTACTTTTGAATCAGACTTGCCGAATAAAATAGCCGTCAACTCAGCTAAATCATCGTAGAGTGCTAATGGCCTTATGGAGGTTAGATAGCCCCGGCTCGTTTTTTTTACAGTGTTCTCGGCGTATGAACGTGTACATGTCTCCAATTTTGTTTTTTAAAAAAAAAGGTTTTTATCGAAAAACACACAAGAATAGGACTGTAAGTAAAAAACACGGCTTGGAAACGGGGGAGGAGTTGAGTTTTAAATACGGATGCAAGAAAAAACAACAATAGCAACAAACTATTGGCGCAGTAAATGAACAACTTTTCTTTTCCCATGACAACACACGTCAGTTATCATTCCCTTAAAATGCAGTTTCAAAAAAAAAGCCTGACCCAAAAACCTTTGAAAGCCAGGGAAATAAAACAAGGACTGCTGAGCACATGCAAGCACCATGCAACCTCCGTAGTAGTATGATTGCCACTCGTCATTTCGTAGTCAGCAGGAACTAAGACACACAACTTTGGAAGCATTTTTGTTAACCAACCAAAGATATGAAACCAACTATGCCAAATATTCTTATTAAAAAAGCTAGCATATCTCACCTTACCAGCAGCCTCTTCATGGCTTCTTCATTATCCCAGGAATATTCAAGCAGTAATTAAATTTTCTTCACTACAACTGGCATCTCGCATACTTATATTAGTCTAATCTCAGTCTGTATGTAATTGTAAATGTTGAGTAAGCAATGAATCGTTTTTACCCGACGAGTGGCAGATAATGCCGTGAGTCACTGCTGAAATAAAAATTGATATCTTCGTACAGCATTAAATACACCTACTGTAAGTAATGTATGATTATCGCTTATGCAAGGCTGTTCCTTAGTTTATTCCATACAATAATCGCAAAACATGTGCCTAATCATAGAATCAATTATTTCGTCCTGACGTAAATAGGCTCGTGTTTGTCCCTTTATCATATGAATACAATGACACTTTGTTTCAAATACTATCTTTATTACGTCTTACATACTTAAAAGTTGCTTGACAAAGAAAGCATACCCTCTCATTCAAGATATGGCTTAAACTTATAAAAACATGTGTCACTCCTTGAAAGCATCACGCATGTTTGTAATATATAATTAGCGTTAATTATAAATCTTATTTAAAATGAAAAGAATGTCCTCTAATTTCACGAAACATGAGTTGGTATCGTGGCTGCAGATAGTCATCTCTATGCGCAAAAATTTCTATCTAAGAATTCCAGCTCATCAGAACCATGTAAAATATTGTGTTTTAAACATCTCGGGTAAAAGGTATAATCGCCCAAAGCATTATTATTGCCCACTTATTGTGTATACGATAAGCCACACAATGAGATATTTAAAATCCACATGACAATAAAAATAAACACCTATAAATTGTAAATTTTCACCGTTACTTGTAAATAAATTCGAGTTTAAGTTTTATGGTGTTACTGGCTTGTTTAAGTGTAAAAGCGGTAACGTGAAAATAAAGAAAAAGAATAGAGATTAAGATAAAAGTTCTTAAAAAGTGAGCACCAGACTATAAGTTGTCAACTAAGATAAAATAAAATATAAAGATATAAAAGGGAAATGCTACGACGAATCAGTTATCTGTGTCTTCGAAGGAGTATAGTAAAATACAACTGTTAAGACTATTCAGTGCTGATTTATAAGAAGGGCTTTCGTACAATTATAGTAGTTATATATATTTATAATGAAACCAGGCTTATATGAATAAGACTAAATCAGATTATAGTAAAGAACAAACTAAAGATTTTATTAAATAATTTTATGGTCCTTTTATAAGAAAAGGACCAAAAAGCAGTCAAAAAAAAAATAAGACATCTGAGGTCAAAAAGGACCAACAGAAGAAGAAAAAGGTGGTGTAACAATGGATACATACTTAAGAGAAGAAAAAAAGTGCATTTTTTTATTAGAATTACTAAAATGTAAGCAAGTTTAAGCTTGAATGGCTGCCTTATTAGCAATAAGATATTCTTTGAAGGTTTCAGGTTCACGGCCAAGAAGAATGGAGATTTCAGGGGTAACTCTGGCGTCTGGGAAACTATCCGTAGCAGTTGCAAGATCTATAGCAAAGATGTGGGGGAAATGACCGGATTCCATAACCTTGTTGTATTTTTGAATAGGTTTGATCTGTTGGTAGTTGATTTGACGGCCAACAATATCAGATACAACTTGAGCCCATTGATGGCCATTACTCGTGTCGCCCGTGAGACTGTAGACAGCATCACCATGCTTTGCAATAGATTCGCTCAATACAACGGCAGCAACAGCGCCAATATCGTTGGTTGAGATGAAACCAAGAGAGGAGTTGCTAGGGAAAGTATCAAAGATGATGTTATCAGGGCCAGGACGAGAACTCAAAATCATGTTGGTCATAAATCTACCAGGACGTAATGTGACCAAATTTCCACGACCGGGAAGGTCAAGCATTGCTTTTTCAGCACCATAATGCAAGGCACCAATATAACTAGTTCTCCAACCCATGTTGACAGCGGCCGAAGAGATATCCACGATTTGTTTAACACCTGAATCATAAGCGATTTTAGCAATATTCTTTTTGAGGTTGACAAAGTCACTGAAATCTGAAACTAATAAAAAGAGACGACTGTGGCCCTTGATACCTGTTTCCAATGAGCTCAAGTCACTGAAGTCACCTTGAACTATGTTGATCAGTTCAGTACTGTTGGGAAACATTGACTCAATTTTGCTAGGTGTACGAGCATACAATGTCATGGCTACCTTCTTTTCCAACAAGTCTTGAACCAGTTTGATACCAATATTGCCAGTGCCGCCGAGGATAAATACGCGATCGTTTGTAACTGTCATTTCAATTTTTTTTTATAACTCGAATGAAAAAAAATAAAAATATCAATGTATTTAAACGTGATCTCTATTTGCTGCGAGCACCCTTTTATATAACGGCCTACTTTTTTCATTAATTCCTCAAAACGGAAAATTGCGTGCCCGTCCCGGATAAATCGGGTTATTTTCTTTCCCGTGTGCCGTATGCCGTGCTTTTATCGTGAATTGGGAGTGCTGGTGGTGAGTTTTAGATATAAAAGTTGAGAGTGAGCACCAAATCAAGTTATTAGGTTTCATTAGTTAAGCCTTTATATGGATATTAAAAAAGAAGGTTTTACGAAAGTAATTATATGGTTTGAACTTTTTACGTCAAATCAAGTGCACACTTGGTATTACTAAACAAAACCCGGCAATGCCATTGGTTTTAATATTCATCTTGCATGAAAATACCGGTGAAATGATGTTTTATGGGGCATAATAAAAAGGCAATATAAAATACGAAAAAAGAATTGTTTTTTATTATGACTACGACTTATCACTAACTACTGGGTTTCAGAGGCTCTCCTTACATCATTTTTAAACCATACCTTTCACATACCACTCGGAGATTTACTTGTCTGCATTATTATATTAGCAAACCCTTCATCCCTTGCACCGAGCTTTTTTATGACCACGCCTAAAGAGTGGTTATGTTTGAGTTGGCTAGGTTAAGTTTTACATGATTGTCCAGCTGCTCCATATCCTTATCAACGTAAACAATCATTCTTCCAGTTTTTAAGTTACATCGTCGGAAACTGCTCCTAAATTATATATTTGTAGCGTCACATTTTCATCATATAAATTGAATTTACCTTCTCCATGTTGGAAGTATGATATCTTTTAACATGTTTTCTATAAGACTCATCGTTTTTTAACAGCCTGACAGGGATATTGTTAGTCTTGCAATTGAAACCGTATTTCTAGTTTAACGTTCACCTTGTAAATAAACGTCTTTTCAAAGAGAGATCCCGCGTTAAAGGTAGTCCTTAACTTTACTCTTTTATTAAACGGCTTTAACTCAGCAAAAAAAAAGTAATATGTCCCTGCCGCTTCGTTACATGTTCTTCGGACCAATCTTAGTCGTGAAAATATGTTATCTAATTCTTCGTTGATGCTGGATCGCTGTTCAAAGACTTCTTCTGTAGAATTGAGGGGTTATTCAAGCCTGTTCATACATTGCTGTTTTTCAATCAAAAATGGTTTGAATAGTTCGAAATCGTTATTGGCAAAAAAACAAAAAGCAGACTGTAAGAAAAAGTTGTGCCGGCTCGGAATGGATTATTTGCCAAAAGATTGGAAAAATGGTTCTCACTATATTTAATCTTCTCCCTTTCCATTCCAAAGAACCAACTTTAGAATTGCTTTGCCATCACTGACTCATTCTTTGTATTGTAAAAGTCATGTCATAAACTGTAATTATAACATTCTATTTAACCATGACACAATTAATTCTTAAGATTTTCCTTTGCTCTTTAGGATTTGTACAACCAACATGAACCACCGTCATAAAACAAAACATTACAGCTTTTAAGTTCTTCATAGGTCACTTTTGACACTCTTATGGCTAGATTATGAATGCATGAATAGGAATGAAAGTCATTTATACTCTACCTGCGAATTATGAATAACAGTATCTAAACACAACGAGTCGGCAAAGAGGATGAAAGCTTTTGCGGAACGAGTTTATGTCGTTTTACTAAAAAGCTATACTCATTCTTCTACATCAGTATGCCATTCCCTTAGTCTGAGATTAGGTGGATTGAAACACAAAAACCTGTTTGCATACGAGCAACAAAATACCCATTGGTTTGTCCATGAAGGCTTGTATTGGGCGAACAAAAGTTAAACAAATCTGCAGACGAGGATATTAAAATTACCAGCAAAAAAAGGGAGATTGAAGGATAGACGTTAAAACGAGTTGGACGCAAGAGGTTAACAAATTTGAATATGTAGACATAATCGTGATCAAAATAATGTAGCGGAGACAACTGGAATGGAGGATATGGAATCGAACGTCTTACTAAAAGTGCCTTTAGAGTTTGTTAAAAATCAATACGATGAAGATCAAGTCGAGAAAGGACAGGATATACACCTATCAAAATAATATTCAAGAGGCGAATAGATAATTACGACATAATTGAAGAACAACTTTAAAAACGCTTCAGCTGACTATTTGGATTTATCATCTGACGACGAGGGGATCCACTATTATTACTTAATCAATCTTTCACTCGGAATGACCGTATTACCCGACCATCTATTCTGAGCCTGGAATAATCATATGTGCAAGGAGTGTGTTATCGATAGTAGCAATATAGGATTACAACAGATAGCGAGATTTGGTATGCACGTACGTCTGGAGGTTAGGGCAGTGTTGAAATTGGATATACGGAACAGTTATAGTTCAACTTGGTGGATCCTCGAGTCTAGGGGTACAAGTATCATAAACCTTTGTGAAATAAATCGAGATTCTAGTACTTTTGTTGGGTAAACTAGCAGAATAAAATGAAAACAGAAATACTGGCAATCATCCTTATCACGGCCTGTGAATGACATGAAAAAAAAAGGGAATGAAATGACGAGGATTCGGATGATAAAATGAAAACCATGAAAGATGAACGATTTGTAATCCCTGCGTCTGCAAGATGTATTGTCGTTTGTTGTACACAGTCTGACAATTATGCTATATATATTTTAAAAAAAATTGATGGTGAGGTTAAAGCAGATATAAATAACTGGGGTACAATGGGTTTCTATAAGATGTTTCTTTTTTTTTTTTTTACCTTGGAGTCTTTCATTATTTTACTAACAGTTTACAATTAAAATCAAGTTATTTCTCAGAATCATCATTTTAAATGTTTAGCTTCCCCAATCCATGTGACATTATCTTTAAATCAGATTACAAACATATGCGACTTCTTATTTTTAAAGCCTGTTTTTTTCTGTTGAACCATCTAGTTAAAAATCACAGCATTTAATAATTATTGGATAGTTTTAATAAATCAAGTACATTGTGCTAATGCATTTTATGTTATTTTGGTCATGCCCCCACCGAGTCACCTAAATAGTGCATTAGAAATAGAAATATGGGATTTTTAAATCCCTTTTTTATTTACCTTTACAGCTGCAGCGATATCAACTACCATTTTTTTTGGGACCTTCACACAGGACATTATAATACTTGCAGCTACCCAGCTCCCTTTCTTTTTTTTTATATCTGCGTCTTATGTACCTGATATATTTATACTCCAATGAAATTACAGAGCTCTGATAGAATTGATAATAACAAAGAAAAAAAACAATGGCTACTTCATCCAATATAAGCTTCTTGTGAAGCACATTCATTCTGATCCCAGTAAGGGACAAGGTGGTTTTGTGTGATAAAAATCGAGAAGCTTTGATGCCGACTGATTGCGTGCTCTTAATATTAAGTCACACTTGTCACTTGAAAATAAAAGATTAAAATTGCCGTTTGCATGTCTCACTTTCTTCTTTATTAAAATCTACTCGAAGTAATCTTACTGTTGGAATGCTTTGTGATTCACAAGAAACTAAGTTAACACAACAATACCAAGCTTGAAATTCAGTCATAATCTCACCATCTCGACCTTTCTCAACCTTTTATAGTTCTTTCTCTAGTCTTTATCGAGTCTGTAATAACTTGACTAGGTTTAAAAATGATATTAAGAATGTTCTTTATAAACACAAAACTGATCCTCTTCATTTCTAGTCGTATACCTCCAGCTGTTGTAAATAATTGACTGCAAGAAATAATTGACTGCAAGAAGGCTTTACTCACCGTAAAAGACTATTATATAATGAGTTTCGATTTTTTGCGTTATATATCGCCTATATTCACCAAATAAAAAAATGTGAGGGGGGGGGGGACTATCGACGAAATAATATGGTTTACAATTTGTATTTGCAGGCAATTAAGGCCCCTTTGCTGGTGACATTCTGGTCTTACCTACATTGTGGAATTAAACTTGTCTAGTATGCTGTCATTTCTGGACCAGTTTCGTAAAGGTCTTGAATAGTTGTAGCAACCAGAACTTATGAGTGTTTGTAATGCTGACAAAATTAAGTGAAGAAGAATTGTGGTATATTTCGGTAACATCACATGTAATCAATGAGCATGCACAATAAATTAAATTACAACACATATGTTATCATGGAATTAATGTAATTCATGCACATTTTTTTTTATCTTTTATCGTAAAGAGTGGGGTCATTTCTCATACGCTACCTGTATATATATATATATATATATATATATTTGTAAATCTTTCTTTCTTTATTTCGGTCAACAATGAATTTATGTCTTTTGTGTTTTTGTCATAATTTTTCTCTTTTGAACCAACGAACTTAACACTTAATGGGTTCCGGTTGTAAACGAAATCAAGCAACGGTAGTGAGTAATAATTTTAAAGATGTTCTACAATGGCTACCCCTTTTACCAGTGGGTACCACAATTTTTATCTCCCCATCCCGCTTTCTCTTTTCATTTTATTTTTTTATTTAGTCACTGCTGTGGCAAAAGCGGTATTCACTAGTTAATTTTAAATAAAGTCTTATAAAGTCGATGAGACACAAATAAAGGATCTTTATTAATTTGATAAAAAGCGAAGAAGGATCTTAATTGACCGGGATAGCTTCTTTGTAATTATTGCGGATTCTTAATATAGTGACTGTACGATCTCGAGATGGACGTCATCAGTACAATTATGATTGTACTGAGATTTAATCTCATATGAATATCTGTTTAAGAGAGAAGATTATACATATCAAGTGTTTATATCTTCTCAAATACGACATAACCCCCTCCAGTATGAGATTAATCTTTTTTTTTTTTTTTTTTATCGCCGATTCAAACCGCCCAATTTACTTCACCTCAAGTATCTGAACTGCAATAAAAAATTGATCAAAAGGACTGCTTTTCAGCGTGTAAATTATAAAACCCAATAGAACAACTTACTGCCAGTCCTGAAAAGTCGGTCGTAGTCGACTTATCTTTCACTGAGATTTAAAATTGTCCGCTTAAGCCTGACCACACACACTCTGCGTTTAATAGCTCCAAGGTGCATCAACAATAGGTAAGACATTGCTATACTAATGGTAGTTTATTTCAGAGATATGAAAGCTACAAGAAGTACTAAATTAGTTCCGTATTTTAAGTTTTTTTCATCCTTAAATGACGACTTTGAACATGCGTAATCAACGTTTAACAGCTGTAAAGCTGCCTTAACAGGTTGCTTCATTAACAGATAAGACTTTACAAAACAATCTGTTTATTTTGTATGATTTGGATATAAGGTACATTCTCCAATCGACATATCTCAGTTTTTCTTTTTTTTTTTTTTTTTTTTTTTTTTTTTTTAAGGGACGCCATTGATATTTTAAATTGTCCAAATAAAAAAAAAGCCACTTCCTTTTCACCTTATTACAAAAACTTTACAATGGGAAAATCGAAAATCGCCTTATGGCGCGAAATGGAACAATTTAAGCGACAAATGCTTTTGAATCCCGGTTACGAACTTACAGAGAGTGAAATCGCTTCATTTCAACCCTCTCCTCCCCCAAGACGCCAACCACGTCAAAAAGCTCAGGCACCGAGTTACGACCCCATGTCTGAATACCCAGCAGACGATGACAACAATACGACCGTCGTCTTGCATAATTGCACCATGGACCCTACACCGGCTCCAGCACCTCGCAAGCGTCGACGAATCCGTATCCGTTCGTCTGTACCTATCGTTAAGGCTGTACCTGCGAAAGTCAGTCCTGCTGAAGCCAAGAAGGAAAGGGCCATCAGGTACCAGAGAAAACTGGAGGTTTTAGCCAACAAGTGGGGCAAAGTGCTTAACAACATGTGCGTTAACTACCTTGTTTTTGTTGGTCAGCAAGGTGGCTTGCCATCCACCGAGATTGTTTCTCCAGTTGCAATCGATTGCCAATGTGGTAGTGAAAAAGTACTTCTGACAAAGACTGTCATGAACTCATTTCATCATGTCCTAGATCATGCCTTGATTTTAAACCCTTGTGAAACCTTGTCCTAAAATCTAATATCAGTATACCTTGTCCGCTACCAAACTCCCTGTAAAACCTTGTACCCAAAATCATATCTGTATATCTTGCCCGCTTTCTGAATTCCTTGTAAAACCTACCACCAATCTGTATTCCAATATATTTCCCGCCTCTTGTCTGACTCAACCTTAGTAAACCTTTTTCCGATCATCTATTACTTCATATCCCAATCCAGTTTTCCCGCCCGTGTCAAATCAGAGATATTCCCCGAACCATCTAATTATTCAATGTCAACTAAATCCAGCCTGCTATTACTCGTCGAATCTCAATTACTCATCCTTGTCAAATAATCTGCTCATGATATCTGTTCCGTAAAGTCCCTTGTTAATCTATAATTTAAACCCATCGTAGCTTTTCCCATGTATAAGAAATAGTATAAATAGATGCTAGTTATTTATTAGAAAAACGTTATTCTGGATCTTAGTCCTAACCCCTCCCCCTTCTCTGAAATAAACTTCTTTATTTATCATTTTCACTCTGACTCTCGTGTCACCAAGTAGTCTTCTTTCTGTTCTTGTTCTGTTTCTGACATTATCCAGAATCAAAAACCTAACTACTTGGTCCTCTTTACCTTTTACCTCGTTTCTTTGCCGTGTTCCCTGTTCCCTGTTTCTTGTTTAACCTCGTCTCCAATAAAGATTTGCCACTATGCCTGAATTGACCGAAGAGCAAATCGAAACACTCAAGCAACTCCTACATCGGGTCTCCATTATTGAAGAAACTGAATTACCAAAATTAGAAACCCAAAACATGTCCGCAAATGACATAATTAACAATCTTGCTCGACGACTCCATGCCATTGAATCCAACACTGCAACTATTATCAGCAACTGTCAACAACATGTAGCCGATCTAGGTGCAGAGATCCATGCATATATAGCCGAAAATTATCAACATAAATCCGTAACCCAACAAACAAATTCCATCCGTATCAAACCTCCCGTACCTTTCACTGGTCAAACGTCGTACATAAATTCATTTTTTTCTCAACTCTCAGTTGTATTTGCTGCCGACGACGTACGTTTTGCTTCGGACAACAAGAAGGTTCTCTACACCATTGGTTGTTTAGCAGGAAATGCCCTTTCATACATTGAACCATTTATCAAAGATATCGACACTGATAAAGAATTGGAAATTTTAAACGATTATAAAAACTTCAAACAAATCCTATATGACGCCTTTGGTGACTCTAATCCAATTATTAATTCTGAATCATCTATCCGTGCCCTGCGACAAGTGGGCTCTGTAGCTCGATACGCAACAGACTTCCGAAGATTGAGCATGCAATTGACTTGGAACAACGATGCCTTGGTATCTCAATTCGTGCTGAACCTTAAGGACCATGTTAAAGATGAACTTGCCCGACTCTCACCCATTAAGGAATTGAACAAGATGATAGCTAAGGCAATTGAAATTGATAATCGACATTATGCAAGAGTACAACAAAAACAACAATCACCAACTCGAATCATTAGACAACCTCAACCCACTCAACCTACCCCAATGGAAATCAATCATGTCGGTTATCCCACGTACGAAATTAAAACGGAAAACAAAACACAATCCTATTCACCCCACAACAACAACATTCGTCGTGGCCCTATTTCACCTGAGGAAAAAGATAGACGACGTAAAAATAATCTATGCCTATACTGTGGACTTCCTGGACATTTTACAGCTGCCTGCCCAAACAAGATAAATAACCAACCCCATCGATCTAACTTTGGAACAATATCAACCATATTAACTAATGAATCATATGATGAAACCAACTTGGAAACCGACACCCAATTACACGCTATTACAAGCATCGACCCCCAGTTAAATTTAGTGAAGGCCGTAAAAACCCCAAAAGACAAATTATTGGTACAGTATTTACATCAAGTATCCAAAAAACAGGAAAGTATCAACAAATCCAATGCTCTCGACATTAATTACGTTACTGAAAGCGAAGTATCGGGTCTCATTGTTATACCTGTAACAGTATCTATTAGCGGTATTTGTGTCTCTGTTTTTGCTCTCGTCGACTCTGGAAGCTCTAGTTCGTTCATCTCATCCAACATCGTAACTCAAAGCGGTCTCCCCTATCATACTGGTATACCGACCTCATACAAATTAGCAGACAACTCCGTACATACGACAGATAAAGAATCTTCTTTATTTATGAAAATTAACGATACACACCACCAAGAATATATTACTTTGAAGCACCTCGACTCTGCTGCTCACCCTATTATTCTCGGTCAAGATTGGCTAGTACGCCACAACCCTGCTTTTGACTGGAAGTCCGGAACGATGGTGATGACCTGTCTTCTTCGTGGATGCCTCGCCACTAAACTAGATACAACAACGACCGATGTGATTACAATTGACGATGAAAAAATTAGTGACTCGATTAACGATAGTACAACCTTTGTAACCCCTTCACATACAGATAATATTTTTACTTCTTCCAATGAAATAAATCATTCTTCTGAGTATTCTTATGACTTTTTAAAAATGAACGAGAAAAAAGAAAAAAGGGAAAAACTTGCAAAACAACTCAATACACCGATTTTAAAACATTTTAACGTTCCACAACCAAAATCTGCACCTATTATTTGCGCCATAAACACAAACAAATATGAAAACATCACGACACAACTGTTACCAAATAAATATCAAGATTTTAGTATTGTATTTTCAAAAAAAGAAGCTGATCGACTACCCCCGCATAGACCCTATGACCATACCATCCCTATCAAGACCGGTAGTGAAGTGACTTTTGGACCCTTATACAACCTATCAAAAATAGAAATGGACACATTGTATGAATATATTCAAGAAAATTTAACCAAAGGATTTATTGAAAGATCTGAGTCTCCTGCTGGTGCTCCTGTTTTCTTTGTCAAGAAAAAGGATGGCTCTCTTCGCCCTGTTATTGATTACCGCAGTCTTAACAAAATCACTATTCCAAACCGATGTCCCCTACCACTTATAAGCGAAACTTTAGATCGTCTACATACTGGGGCTATATTTACCAAACTTGATATGCGTGGTGCATATAATCTTCTTCGTATAGCTAAAGGTCATGAATGGAAAACTGCTTTTCGTACCCGTTATGGTCATTTTCAATATCGTGTCATGCCTTTTGGTCTTTGTAATGCTCCTGGCTCTTTTCAAGCTCTAGTCAACGACACCCTGCGACAATATCTAGACTCTTTTGTCGTTGTTTATCTCGATGATATTCTTATTTTTTCCAGCAATCCGGAGGAACACACGAATCATGTACGTCTGGTGTTACAGAAGCTAAAGGATGCTCAACTCTCTCTAAAATTGGAAAAATGCGAATTCGACGTGAAGAGTGTACAATTTCTTGGTTTTGTTATTACCCCCAATCATATCTCAATGGATCCAGAAAAGGTTGATGCAATTAAAGACTGGAAAGATCTCACCAGTGTCCACGATATTCAAGTTTTCCTCGGATTGACAAATTTTTACAAACGATTTATTGCAAATTATTCCAAACTATGTGTCCCATTGACTAGCTTACTTAAAAAGGATGTTCCTTTTCGTTGGGATAGCTCTGCCATCAACGCCTTTAATGATCTCAAGAATCGTATTGTTAGTAATCCAGTACTACTCCATTTTAACCCACAGTTACCTTGCATAATCGAGACCGACGCTTCTGACTTTGCTCTTGGTGCCGTATGTAGCCAGACTGGTCCCGATGGCTATAACCATCCAATCGCTTTTTATTCACGAAAACTTCTTCCGGCTGAACTTAACTACCAGATATACGATAAGGAACTTCTGGCTATTGTTGCTGCTTTCAAACATTGGCGACACTACTTGGAATTTTCATCAGATGCAACCATTGTTTTGACGGATCACAAAAATTTAGAGTACTTTTCAACTACTCGCAACCTCAGTCGCCGACAAGTTCGCTGGGCTGAGATTCTTGGTGATTTCAACTACCTCATTGTTTACCGTGCTGCCAAGCACAATGCTGCTGCTGATGCGCTCTCTCGTAAAGACCGCCCTTTTGAGGGGGGTGACTCTCGTGGAAAAACTAATATGACCTTGCTAGACCCAAAATTATTTTTAAACTCTGTTATCTCCGTACCCATTGACCTCGAAACAAATCCTATCCTGCCGAAAATCATCCTTGCATTACCTGAAGACTCTTATTTTGGACCAATTATCAACACAGTCAAAACATCTCCTGAAAATAAGGCTGAGACCAAATACAGCTTTAACGATAATATTTTATTTCATGAAGGAAAAATATGTGTACCTCATGTTGACGATGTAAAAAGAATTATTTTAGAAGAATGTCATGATACACCTGCCGCTGGACATTTTGGTATCGCAAAGACGTATGATATGGTATCAAGAAATTATTACTGGCCCGGTATGCGTACCTACATCAAGGACTATGTTTCTGGTTGCGAAACGTGTATCAGAAACAAAAATAGCCATCACAAACCATATGGACTTCTACAACCTCTACCAATCCCGGACTCACCTTGGACATCCATATCAGTTGATTTTATAACCCAACTTCCACCGTCCAAAAACTACACGGCAATTTGCGTGTTTGTCGATCGCTTCAGTAAAATGGCATTGTTCATACCCACTACAAATCAAGTCAATGCAGAAGAAACATCACGTCTGTTTATCACTCATGTCTTTTGTCATTTTGGAACCCCCGATAGCGTAATCTCTGACCGTGGAGTTACCTTCACGTCATTATTCACAAGGTCTGTCATGAAAGGATTAAAAGTCACACAAAAATTGTCCACTGCTTTTCACCCACAAACGGATGGTCAAACAGAACGTATCAACTCTATACTTGAACAATACTTACGATGTTACATCAACTACCAACAATCTGACTGGAGTGATTATTTACCCATAGCACAATTTGCCTATAACAATGCAAAACATTCATCAACAAATACCACTCCTTTTTATGCAGTATATGGATATCACCCACGAATGTCAGTAACACTACCAAGGTCCGATCAAGATAAATCCCCTGCAGACGTCCGCTTACAAAATATTCATGACTTACACCAAGAAATGAAATTCAATATTGGACTAGCCCAAGAAAAGCATACGGAATTTTATAATAGACACGTACAACCAGGTCCCAATTACAAAATCAATGACAAGGTTTGGCTCTCATCAAAAAACATCAAATCACAACGCCCAACTGGTAAACTAGACTACAAGCGTCTAGGGCCGTTCAGGATTGTAGCATTAGTTGGATCCCGTGCGTACAAATTGGACCTACCTCCAACGATGCGTATACACCCAGTGTTTCACGTAAACCTTCTAGAACCGTATAAGCCTGATAAAATCCCTGGTCGCCCCATTCGTGAATTACCACCTATAATCGTAGATGAACATCAAGAATACGAAGTGGACTACATTGTAGATTCAAGATTCAATAGAAATAACTTACAATACTTGGTACACTGGAAAGGCTATAGCACCATGGATAGAACTTGGGAACCTACAAAAAATCTTACCCATTGTAAATCAGCTATCAAGAAATTTCATACCTTGCACCCAACCCGACCATGTGAAAAGAGTCTCACAGTTGCTCGACCGTAAAGAGGGAGCGACTGTCATGAACTCATTTCATCATGTCCTAGATCATGCCTTGATTTTAAACCCTTGTGAAACCTTGTCCTAAAATCTAATATCAGTATACCTTGTCCGCTACCAAACTCCCTGTAAAACCTTGTACCCAAAATCATATCTGTATATCTTGCCCGCTTTCTGAATTCCTTGTAAAACCTACCACCAATCTGTATTCCAATATATTTCCCGCCTCTTGTCTGACTCAACCTTAGTAAACCTTTTTCCGATCATCTATTACTTCATATCCCAATCCAGTTTTCCCGCCCGTGTCAAATCAGAGATATTCCCCGAACCATCTAATTATTCAATGTCAACTAAATCCAGCCTGCTATTACTCGTCGAATCTCAATTACTCATCCTTGTCAAATAATCTGCTCATGATATCTGTTCCGTAAAGTCCCTTGTTAATCTATAATTTAAACCCATCGTAGCTTTTCCCATGTATAAGAAATAGTATAAATAGATGCTAGTTATTTATTAGAAAAACGTTATTCTGGATCTTAGTCCTAACCCCTCCCCCTTCTCTGAAATAAACTTCTTTATTTATCATTTTCACTCTGACTCTCGTGTCACCAAGTAGTCTTCTTTCTGTTCTTGTTCTGTTTCTGACAAAGACCGTCAGAATGTACTTTTTCCATGGTAAAGAGCAAAATATTCGACAAAATACTAGTATACTCTAACCCTGAATATAATTTTGACATAGCCATTAAGGATGTATCAGTCAGTTACTGCAGCTGTAAGCCCTTGGCAGAAGCATTAATTTTGATGGGTATGTTTCCTGCTTCGCCCACAGACCCCAAAAATGCCATTCATTTGGGTTTGTTGGGCTATTTTAATGAAGTTCGAAACACCTTGAAGTCTTCTTCTGAGGGTATTACAAAGTTGTATAACAACTTGCAAGGAAATCCACTGGTAATTAATGTCTTAAAATTAATATTCATATATCTAACCAATATTTTTGGTAGACATCCTTGTCAGTGAACAACTTCCGGACCGTATTCAACTTGTACAACAAGGTCATTTTGTTGACAGAAGAAATGGTGAACGATCGATCTTTGTTGAAAGATCAGGCGATGTGCTGTCCTGCTTGTCCTAGTGTATGTTTCCGTATTAAATTATAGATAAAATGAAATCATAACCATCTTTTGTTTTTAGAGGGACTCCATCCACCCAATGGATCGCATTTTCATTACTATGGATGGGTGCTTTAGTATGAAATGTAAGTCGAAAGCAAGTCCTCTTGATCAACTTAATTTGGTCAACACCGTGGAGAACGCTTGGGTGAAGCCTGAATGTGTTGAGCTTTATAAGAAGGAAAAAGCTCCTAAAGACGTAAGGATTGTATATTAGGGCGAATTAATAACTAGAGTTACTGATGGTATTTTTATTAATAGGCTCTCATGAATGAGAACACATTCAGAGCTGCAGGTAATGGCGCCTCATACAAGTCAAAGTTGTATCCCGTAAAAGGAATTTTTACGGCTTCATGCGCGCGCCATGACCTCACCCTAAAGATGGTGGATATGGATAGTGGTGAAGGGTATGTGATAAACATGCCAAAAACATTATGTACTAATCCTAATTTTTTTTTTTTTTTGAAGATTCAAATATCCACTATCTGTTCTCCACGAGCTGTTTCAGGAGGACAAGGACAGCATTAAGACGCCAGTAAACTTGATGTATGATATCATTTGTGTCTTGGAGAAGTCGTAGACGGTAACATCTCATTCAATATTGTTGATGCATAAATGCTAATGTATTCTTATGATAGACTCACTTCCCGTACTTGACTGCTAACGGCACTCTTGCACTCCCCGTTTTTCATGCTTATGCGCATGTTATTAGCTGTCAGTCCAGCTTTAATCCTAAAAACATTGAATCGTACGGCAGGACTGACGGCGAGGCATCGGAACGTTTATGGTCTTCACTCAGACCATTCGTCACCATTACACGTCCGATGTCTCAGGCCAACAGAAGGCTGACTCTTACGTTGGCCATCCGCCATCGTAACATGGAAAAAAAATGGGGAATGGGTAAGATGTTGTTTTTGTAAAGGAAATGGTGAATATCACTAAC